TTTCCATTTCCATGTACATTTCCACTTCCATTTCCATTTCCTCCTCCTTCTCCTCCTCGTCCTCCTCCTCCTCCTCCTTCCTCCTGCCTCCTCCTTCCCCTGTCTCGCAGCGCCACCAGGCATGCACCGCCATCGGCAGGCCCTTCGTCGTCCTGCCGCCCGCCGTCACACCGCGCCTGAACTCAGGAGGGAAAGAAACACACAGACACAATGAATCGTCGATTCCCCAGAAAATATGGGAAAATATGGGAATTGGGCGGGAAGACAGAAACCCAGAAAATATACTAAAATATGGGGAATATTTTTATATGTGTGTATTTATTTGTGTGTCCTGGGGCCCCTTGATGAACTACCAGCTCAACGTTGACCAGGAAGCCGCGCCCCTCTCTGACGCGCGCCTCAGCGACCACGCCGTCATCGAGCTCACCACCGACACCAAAGAGGTCCCCGACAGGGACGACCTCCCGATCTCCGACTCCGTCTTCCGCCCCAAACAGCACACAACTCCTTTCGAGGGGATTCTTGCGGAGGCAGAATTCGACGCCATGACCGAGCTGCGACGCCACGATGGAAAGCACGGCCACGGCCGCCGAGCTCACCCGCAACGAGCTGCAGCAGCCCCCGCCGGGCACGGGCGACGCTACTTGCTCGGGAGCATGCGCCATGGAGTCCGCGCCATTGCCCGCGCCGCTCGGCGCTCTGACACCCGCGCCTCGCGCTTGCCAGCTGCCACAACAGAACTTGGCTGCTTTTATGCAGATGCCCCCTTCCCGCAGCCGCGCCCCCGAGGTGAGTTGCAGGGCGAGGCCGTTCGCGGCAGCCACGCGCGGCTTGGACGCGCCGCGCGACAGTCGGCTGCTCGCGCAGCCCGCGCCGCTGACCAACCATCGGCAGAAGTGCAGCAACGCATCCAGCGGACGCCCCCGAGACGCGCGGCGGCCTGGACGCCATTTTTGAAGCGCCTCGCCCTTCGCGGCGCCACGCGTTCTCAGATTGCCCAGAATCCAAGCGCGGCGGAGGGCGCCCCCCCCCCACCGGCTGCGCGGCCCCCGCAGGGCGTCGCCGCGGCTTTTCGTGGCCACTGTGCCCCCGTCTTCACAGAACAGGCAGTCTCGCGCGAGCAGATCGTCTGTTTCTTCGACTTCACCTTCCCTCGCTTTCCAGTCGCCGACCTCCCCGCCCCAAAACCCGTCGATGATCCGCGCGAGGCTTTCAAGCGCGGCGGGAACTCTGCCCCGGGGCCCGACCGTCTCTCGCGCCGAGCCTGGCTGGCGGTGCCTGACACCATGGACAGTCTCCACCCCGTCTTCCCTAGGTGCTGCAGCGCCGCCCCCGTTCCGCCCACGCTCAATCGCCCCTTTGTTGCCACCCTTCCGGATGGCGACGAGATCGGCGATGCCATCGGCCGCCTGCGAGGCGCAGCGGAGGCGCGCCCGCTGTCGCAGGAAAACTGCGACGCAGAGACTTTCGCCACGGCGATGCACTCCCCGCTAGCAGAGTCAGCGGCGGAGCGCGTGCCCAAGACTCAGCGGGGCTTCTCGCGCGGGGGCGACCTCCGCCGCGACGCGGCAAAGCTCGACGCTCGCGCGAGGGCCGCGGGCCCACGCGAAGACGCCGACTGCAGGATGCCCTTGTTTGTTGCTTTCGACATCTGAGCCGCCTCACCCAGCATGACTCGCACGCGGTTGTTCGCGGTGCTAGATCGCATGGGACTCCCGCCAGGGCGCGCTAGAGCGGACGGGGCTGCCGCTGCTAGAACGGAGGGGGCCGCCAGATCGGATGGGACTGCCGCTGCCACTGAGAGCCCGCAGTCTGCGTCGGCGAGGAGATAGCCCCATCGCTGTGCAAATGCAGGGGACATGCAAGGATGCCCCTGCAGCGGCGGCCCGCGCGCCTTCCGCGCGGGCCCCACCGCTCGATTCCCGGAGCGGGCGCCCCCGACGGACCCGCGAGAAGCCCCCCCCAGGCGGCTGCGCCGATGACGCAGGCGCGTCCCCGGCGAAGCTCACGCACCTCACGCGCCCCACCCCTTCCTTTCTCCTTCTCCTCGAGCCTCGCCCCTGTCCACCCCCAGCCTCGCGGGTGCGTTCCCGTCCAATGTTGGATTGAAGGGGCAGGCGCTGCAGTCGCAGACCTCCGCGCGACCCTTCGCCGGATCCCCCACACGGGGCAGCATTTTCCCTTTCGCGGGCGAGACGAAGTACCTAGGAGCGCGCATCGGCCCAGCGGCCACGAACGCCATCCAGCGGGAGGCCTGCTCGCAGAAATGGCGGGGGGGGAATCCTGAAGACCTCCGCCGTTGACGCCCCCCCGGGCTCTTCCTTCTGTCTGCGCGGCTTCGCGATTCCCCCCACCTTGGGCCACGCCGCCCAGTTCCATCCACCTCCGAAGCTGCTCCTGCCAAACGAGCCTCGGCGCATTCATCAGCTGTTCAAGCTGCCGCCCACTTCGTCCGCAGGCCGCGACATCTGGTCTCTGCGGGGATGGGCGCCCAGCCCCACCCCGCTTTCCATCGCCGCTGACGAGGCGGCGACGAGCTGGCACACGGCGCGAAGAACTGCCCCCCAGCATTCCTCTTGGCGCGCGGAGCTCGAAGAGCGCTCGTGGCGCCACAACACAGTCGTCCGCAACGCCCAGGACCGGTGGCCCCCGCCGCAAAGGCGCGACCCGCAGGCCGTCGCGCAGATCCTGCGTGACCGCATTAGCTCTCTCGCACCCCCAAAAGTTGCCGCTGCCCCGCAGCAGACTGCTGCCGCTGAGGCCGCGCGCGCAGCCACGCTCGCCGCCAGGCCCCAGGAGATGCCACGGCCCCAAAGAGCATTCGCCCGTGATTTGGACCGCGAACTTCTCCCAGACAGGTCGCACCTTACGCTGAAGAAGCGAGGGCGCTCCTGGCATCCAGAGCTCCAACTCCCTCCCCATCGACCCCCAACGGCAGGCGTTGAAGGAGACCCCAGCGAAGTCGACAGTGAAGACTCGCGGGTGGATCGCACCCGCAGGGCGCACATCCCCGGCCAGCGGGGCTGCGTCTTTGGGTGGGAGAGCGGCCCCGACGCGATCGCCCACCATTGATCCTGCCCCCGCCTGCCCCACCTTGCCGCCTGACCCCGCTCCGCCCACCATGCCTCGGTGATCGCGCGCCTCGGCCTCGCGGGGGTCATGATTACCCCGAGGAGACCTCCAAGGGGGGCGTGCGCTCTGGCTGTTGGCCCTCGCTTTCAAACTTGAACAGAAGCTTCGCGCGCGCGCGCTCTTGCCGCTCCCATTTCATACCTTGCGCACGTCGAATCAAAGTGCTCTCAGCAGTTGAGCGCCCTCTCGACCTGCAAGACAGAACCGTGGCGCCCCACGTTACGCGCAATCATCATCATCATCATCATCATCATCATCATCATCATCATCATCATCAACATCAGCATCATCATCATCATCATCATCACCACCATCACCATCATCATCATCATCATTATCATCATCATCATCATCATCATCATCATCATCATCATCATCATCGTCATCATCATCCACACCATCATCATTATCAGCATCGGCATCACCATCATCACCGTCATCATCAGCATCACGTTTCTCCTTCCCCTCTTCCCCGTCCCCGTCCTTATGTCCTTGTTCATCATCCCCCGTTCTCTTCCTCCTCCTTCTCCTCCTCTTCCTCCTCCTTTTTCCTCCTCATCTCGTCAGCAATTTCTATGTTTTCTCACCCCCCTCTTATCCCCACGTCTTCCCAGTCTTCTCCCATTCCTCCCGTGCCTCCTCCCCTTCGCCCTTTTCTGACGCGATCCCCAAGGTGGACAACCCTTCTGGGAGGGAGCAACAACTCGCCCAGGTTCCCGGGTCCCGCGCGGATTCCCAGGACGAGGGCCGGTAGACGCTCCAGACATTTTAGAACGCCTCTTGGGCCCATCGCATCATCATATGATTTTACAGAGTCGGGTGTGATTGGTAGGTCGAGTTCGTTGGATTAACGGCACCCCCGTGTCCTGTCTGTCTCGTCTCGCGCCCCCTTCATATCTGGAGGCAGGGTTGCCCTCGGGAGGATGCCGGCCCTCGGCTGTCCTCGGCAGTCAGCCCCGAACGCGCGGGGGAATGGGATGCCCATGTCGAGGCTGGCTCGGGCGGGAGCTGGAAACGCACGTGGCCATCTGTATCCACAACACGCACAGCCCCCAAATATATGTCACTCCGCCGGCTTCCGGAAGGAGTATGAGGAAGAGGAGGAGGAGAGGAGGAGGAGGAGGTTTCCAGACGTTTCCGACGATGGGCCCCCGAATGCGTTTCGGGCAGGGCGGCTCCGCGTGTCTCCGCCAGAGGGGCCCCTCCAGGACGCGAGCCCGACAGGCGGCCTCCCGATGTGTTCCGGGCGTGCCTCCAGCTCCCTGGCAGTGTTCCCCCTACGTCGTCCCTCCCTTCCCCGCCCCCTCCCTCCTCCTCGCTGCCCCTCCCTCCTCCCTCCCTCCCTCCCTCCTCCTCGCTGCCCCTCCCTCCCCTCCTCCTCGCTGCCGCTCCCTCCTCCCTTCCCTCCCTCCCTCCCTCCCTTCCCCCCCCCTCCCTCCTCGCTGCCGGTGCGTCGCCGTCGACAGACGTGGCGGTCTCGAGTGCAAGCGCCCGAAGTTCGTTTTCGTGCAGTACAAGCCCGAGGTCGGCACTCGCGAGCATCGTATGTTTCCATTTCTTCCTGTCTTCCTCCTGCCTCCCTCCTTCGCTCGTCCCTTTTCCCCCCTCCCGCTCTCCCTTCCTTTCTCCCTCCCTCCCTTTTCTTCCCTCCTTATCTCCCTCCACTCGCGCAGTGCAAGCCCCAGACCTGTTCTTTCTTCTCCTCCTCCGCCTCCTCCTCCTCCTCCTCCTCCTCCTCCTCCTCCTATTCCTTTTCCTTTTCCTCCTCGTCCTCGTTTTCCTCCTCCTCCTCCTCCTCCTCCTCTTGTTCGCCCCCTCTCGTAGCCGCTGTGGTTCAAGATCAAGCAATTTGGGTCCGAGCATTTGGCCGAGCCCCCGTCCTGTGCCTCCACGGGGGGGGGTGGGGGACCACACTTCGAGGAACCAGCTGTGCGTTTTTAGCGTTGACCAGAACCGGCGGCATCTCGTTCCAGTAATACCTCGTAGAGCTCTTCGGCATCGATGAGCTAGAGGAATTCCGGCGCGGGGTGCAGCTAGTTGGCCCACCCGGCCCCGACCGACAATGTGATGACCTGGCGTCAGTTTTTCGAAGGTTATGACATATTTGACCATTCGTTTTGAGAACCAGTATTTCTTTCACGTGTGGTGAGTTATGCCGCGCCTGCCAGTGACATTTTCAGGCCCGTAGCGGCAATATTATGTCAAAAGACGTGGAGAAACCGACTTTGTGTCAACCCAGAAAATGTATTTTGGGAGCTTTTGCGCTGAGTTCCGAGCAGGCTTCCTTCTGACAGTCTCAGCACTTACTCGCGTGAATAGAGCTCTACGAGGGTCCCGGCGGTAACCTGGTTGACGGTTTACCGCCGGCTCCCAGTTATTATAGTGATTGCTGGGAGCGGGGCGATTTCCAGAGGGCGGTCGCAGCGCACCAGATGCGGAAAGTCTGAAAGGAACGATCAGCTCCTCATGGACCACTCGTGCTTGTATCACTGCAACAGCGAGGTCAAGCTCCACGTTCCCAAGACGGGGAAGAGGTTGGGCAACGGCCAGCAGCGAAAACGCAACGCTGGTGCAACCCCCTTTCCTTCCAAGGGCATCGGGGTTCCGCTGGTGAAGATCCAGGCGAAGACGGACAACAAGTCGTCAAGGCTGTCGTGCAGGCAGAACGTTTCGAGGTGGCGGCGGCGACCTCGAACCTCGACCACGGTGGTAGGAGGAGACGCAGATGCGGTCAACAAGGCTGTCAGCATGACAGTTTGTGAAACAACGCAGACCACAAGCACACACACACACACACACACACACACACACACGCGCAGTCGCTGCGGTGGTGCATTTGCAGGACAGCCTCACGATCGCGCTCGAGAAGGCGAAGGTAGCAGCGCAGGAGTTCGCAGAGGCGGAGCGCATTAATAAGTCTGCCGCGCAGGCCCCTGCTAGGGCTGAGGGCGTCGGCGGCACAGCCTGTCTTGACAAGGATGGGTCACAACCGAAGTTCCAGGTCGCCTGGGACCAGGATTTCATCTCGGGCTCGGACCAGCTCGAATGCGCGGAGCGAGATGGAGGAACTGCAGCGCGTCTCCAATGTTCTCCAAAAGGTCTGGGGCGAGCGCGACAGGATGGCAAGACGAAGCGCATCGCCAAGGAGGCGGATCGCCTGTCGCAGGCCAAGTTCGCGGCGAAGCGGGCATCGCCGGAGGCTGAGAAGGCGGGGCTGGGCATGGCCACGGGCAAGAAGGCAAAGGCCACGCCCAATTCCGACAGCAAGAGCAAGGCGGCCGGGCGCAAGGCTGCCCCCGCTGCCGCCGCCAACGGCGACATCGAGTTGCGATTGGCCCCCGCACTCGCGGAGCCCGCGAGCGTCGGCGGCGGCGCCATCGCAGGCGCACTCAGGCCACCGTCGCCACGGAGGTGGCTTCAGTTCGTTCTTCTTCTCGAATGTCAAAGCCACGGGGGAGAAGAGTCGGCAGTTCTTGGCCCTCCAGAACTACGACTACGTTGGGCTTGCGAGGCCCGCGCCGACGAGCATCCCGTCGAGTTCTGGGATGAGAAAACAGGAGAGGCCGTCTATCGCACCCTCGCCAATCACGCGAGAGCAAAAAAGGAAGAACCCTTCTGCAGCTATCAAATGGCCTCCGGACCACCCCGCCACCGTGCTTGGGTCGTCGGCATGAAGTGTTTCGGATATTGCTGGGATCTCGCGGGGGGCCTCTCGGGGGCCTATTGGCGGCAATTTTGCTGCCTTGCGGGGGCCGTTCTGGCGCCTCTCGGGGCCTCGGGGCGAGGCCTCGCGGACGTTCGCCGGGACATGGGGCGGGGCTCTCGGGGGCGCGCGCCGCGCGAGCAATGTCGACGCGCATGCGTTGAGGCCAATTAACGGAGCGGCGCCCCACGAATTCGACGCGAGCGCCCCCGGAATCGCCGGTTCCGCGCGCATGCCTCGAGGCCGATGAGCGGAGTGACCCTCGCTAGTCCGACGCGGAGCATTCCGTGAACCGCGCGCTTCGAGGCTGATATGCGGGGCAGCGCTCCGCCAAACCGACTCGGCGCACCCCGGGAAGCCGCGCGCATGCATCGAGGCATGTCAGCGGAGCGGCGCTTCGCTGATCCGACGCGGAGCACTCCGCGAATCGCATGCTTTGAGGCCGATTAGCGGGGCGGCACTCCGCTAATCCGACGCGGTGCATCCCAGGAGTTGGCGCGTATGTTTCGAGGCGAATTTGCGGAGCGGCGCTCCGCTAATCCGGGAGTCGGCGCGCTTCGAAGCCGATTAACGGAGCGGCGCTCCGCTAGTCTGACGCGACGCACTGGGGGCATTGGGGTCGGCGCCTTCGCTGAAATCTTCCAGGAGCGAGGACAGAGGCTCAGAGCATGAAGCAGAGGGCCTGAGGACACCCCACTTCATGCCACATGGGCGCGGTGGCGGACGAAAAGACCACTACAACGAGGGCGGCAAATTGTTCAGGGTTAAGAAACATTACCAGGCGCAGCTGCTATTCACCAAATCCACGGCGATGCGCCTTCGAGCAGCTGGCCGCCCTCATCTCTAAGGAGCCCAGCCAGTGGTGGTGCACGCGACAGGCTATAGCGCGGTCATCGTCGTCTCGCACGACCACCCGAGCGCCTTTTCTCGCCGATTGTGCCCCGCCCGATCAGACGCCCAGGGCCGCGTTCAGCTCTAGCCATGTCGCGTGTTTGTTCTGAGCCCGTCTGGGCACCCTTGGGGCAGTCAAGGGCGCCCTCGAGGGCGCGAAGTGATTCGCGCTTCGCGGTTCGGCTCCGATTCCTCCTCGTCCTCCTCTCCTCCCTTGGGAGGCGACGCGAGAGCGCGAAGTGATTCGCACTTCGCGCTTCGCGCCGCGCGAAGCGCGAAGTTGGGAGCCCTTAGGCAGTCCAGGATTGGGGTGGGCAATCTCGCGCGCCTTGCCAACCCCTGCGGACAAGGATCGGCGGGTGCCTCCGCCGTCCTCACAGCCTCGCCCTTTGTCGCCGTCCTGCTTCTCATCCTTGCATCTCTTCTCCGCCTCGCCTCCCCCTCTCCTCTCCCTCTCCTCTTCCTCTCTCCGCATCCCTCGTCATCCCCTCTGCCCTCTCCTCCCACATTCCTTCTCACACATCGTCCCCGTCATCCTGATCATACTCCCCAGTGTTCCCCTCATCCTCCTGTCTACCATCCTCCTCATCTCCCTTCTGCCCCACCTGTCGAGAGGCTGCATCTGCCATCAAGAAGGCGAGGGCTTCCTCGCACAAGGGCGATGTGAAGGAGGTCCTCAGCGGGGCACACATAGACGTCACGGTGGAGTCGTTGAAGGATTTGGACGAGCAGGGCCTCATCGTCAAACTGCAGGCTGCCACGGGCGCGCACAAGCCCAACGGGTACGAGTTCGAGGACGGCGTCTTTCTGGAGGCTGACTACTACGGCCTGGGCATTGGGAAGGACTGCAAGGGCGAGACGGCCAAGAATTGATTGCTCGCTGGCAGGCTGTCTCTTTCAGCTCAGGGCACAGCACGAGAGTGGAGCCCAAGTGCTCAAATTAGTCCGAGATGGTGCGTTGATCAAGGTAGCGCTGTCTCTATAGGGTATCCACGTTTACGTAGCTGCTTTTGAGAAGAGACGCTCGTGGCAAGTTAGATTCCACGCGGGCAGAATGTCACATCGGTCGTCGCGCTTTCCTCGGCGCAGCCTAATGCTCGCTCCCAGTGTTACTCCCCGTCCCCACTGTCTGCAACGAGATCCTCCTCTCAGTCGTGTTGAATGCGCATGCGTTTTCTTTGGAGGCCTTACGGCCGGTTCCGCCGACCCTGACGGGGGACCAGGAGGCCCCAGGAAGGTCGCGAGGGAGCCAAGGAGCGCACGAAGGCAGGCCGATGACTATCGCAGAACGGCTTGAGGAGCGCCTCGAGATTGGAGAAGAGACGAAACACAGAGCCACCTCTATCTATTCAACAGTAGGCACGTCAAATAAGACATCGGCCTGCTAGCAGGTGCCCCACGGAAGTTTCTTATCCCCCGATGGCCCCAGGGACCCACGGAAGCTCCGGGCCACCGCAGGACAATCAAAGATCGACCAAGAACGTGCCCCAGTATCTCTTAGCAGAGTGAGAGAGTGAGGGGGCCGAATGGTCCCACACCACCCCTGGGTGCGTGGGTGAAGTGAGACTCCGTGGCACCGACTATGCTCATGTGTTGTTGGCTGTTGTTGTCGCCCCCCCCGCGACCCGCGGCGGCCCGCCCCGCGACCCGCCCCGCGCCCGCCCCCTCGCTCTTATCCGCAGTGCAGGGGCGCCGCGTCGCAGGCTCTCTCCTCGCATGTGCCTACTGTGAAGGCTCTCTTGTGGATTCCCCGGTCAGGCTTTGCCTGACTGGGAAGGATGGGAAAGGATGGGAAGGACGTTGCAAGGATGCCCAAGAGCCCCCTCCCTCCTCGTGTTCATGCCCCCTCCATTCCTGCCCATCTCCCCCCTACTCGTCCTCGTCCTCGTTGCCGTTGCCCAGATCGCCCTCCTCATCCTGATCCCCCCCCCTAGTCCTCGTCATCATCTCCCTCATCGACAGCTGGGCTTGGCTTGCAGCGCCTCTGGCCCCGAAACGACGACTTTGCCTCAGGGCCTGCTTGCTCCGTGCGCCCGCGCGGCGAGGCCGAGCCTCGGCTCCCGGGCCCTCGGACCCTCGGGCCCTCGGGCCTCGGCTCTCGGGCGCCGGGCCTCGGCGTTGTCATCGTTGTCGTCGTTGCCGTCGTTGCCCTCGGGCCCTCGGGCCCTCGGGCCTCGGCCTCCGCGGCTCGCGGGCCCTCGGGCCCTCGGCTCCCGGGCCCTCGGGCCCTCGGGCCCTCGGGCCCTCGGCCCTGCGCTGCGCTGCGCGGCAGCGCTGCGCGGCACCAGTGCTGCGCTGCGACGTGTGGGTGCTGCGCGCTCCGACGCCGCGCGAAGACCTGCACGGCCTGAGGAGTTCGGGGGCGGAAAAGAGGGGGGTGATGACCAGGGGGGGGGGATATCATGGCGGGGCCCATGATTTTTCCCCAGATTGCATGGCGCGTCTTCTTATTTCATTACGTCCCTGGCCCCCCCGCTGGGCCGCGCACATGCCGCCGGTCATGATTTGCACCCCCCCCCTCTTGGACGCCCCCCTCTTGGCCGCTCCCGAGGAGTCTCTGGCCGCTCCGCGGCCGCTCCCTCCTCCCTTCTTGCCCCTCCTTCGTCTTCGCCGTAGTGAGCCGCGGATGCATCCCGCCGTGAGCCCGACCACCTGTGGGACCCAACTCGCCGCCGGCCTACACAGATTAGTGCTACGCGGTGTTGCGCCATGCATTCCACGCTGTGCGGTGAAATGCTGTATGATTGTTGTACGTGTGTGTGCATGTATGTATATATGTGTGTGTGTCTGTATGTATGCATGTATATGTGTGTACGCACGACATGATTTGGCATGCGGCGTGAAGCCGTGAACGGCTATGCTATTCTGCCCTTGTGCTGTGCAATTTTACGGCATGCCGAGATGCAACGATACAGCATGCCGAGGTGCAACGGTATGGCATGACAGCGTAGTGGACCTTGTTCAGACAATGCAGCCACTCCAGTCTTCAGAAATTCAATGTCACGCTATTTCAAGCGATGCTATGCAGTGGTGTGCCATGCATTGGTATGCGATCAAACTAGTGATTTAGTGAGGTCACTGGTATTGCACGCCGAGCTGTTCTATGGTATGATTTCTTGTGCTCTCCCATGAACTACGGCATCAACGTTGCAAGATGGAATAATAGAATGTGTAATGTAATGTTGTGGTGTGTCATTATGTGCGCCACCACGTTGCACGGCATCTGCGAGCTCCAGTCTGCACGTTCCCAGGGCCAGGACACATCTCGACCGGTGTTGAACCTTTGCTCTTGCCCTTTTGGCCAACTTCCATGACTGTTTTGCGTTCGCCAGAAGTCACTTCTTCCATTTGCCCCCCATTGCCGATGCATATCTCGAGTAGGGGGGGATCGACTACAGAATTGATTTACCCCCGAATTGATTTTCTCGTCGAATCCATTCTGGAAATGCGTAGAACGTTCGTAAATCTACAAACATCCTGCGCATGACTCGACGAGAAAATCAATTTTGGGGTAAATCAATTCTGTAGACGATCACGTACTCCAATATCCGAGCGCTCACTGAGCTTGGGTGCGGGCAGCTCGCTGCGAGCGGCACCGCGCGAGCCCCGCCGTCCTCAGGGGAGTCTTTGCCACGGCCTTGGCATCGCTCGGACGTGTGCGTTTTTTCCTCGGCGAGGACCATCGAGGAGCATTCTTGATCACTTGGCGAAAAAACCACGCACGAAACCGAAAAAAACAGGGAATGGACGTCCGAGCGATGGCCAGCGGCTGGTGGCCACAGGTCGGGAGCAGCGGAAGTTCAGCCGACAGAGCATCCCGGAGGCCCCAGGTCGCGCTTTCAATCGGGGGCGGAAAAGAGGGGGGTGATGACTAGGAGGGGGTGGATATCATGGCGGGGGCCATGATATTTCCCCAGATTTCATGGCGCTTCTTCTTATTTCATTACGTCCCTGGCCCCCCCGCTGGGCCGCGCACATGCCGCCGGTCATGATTTGCACCCCCCCTCTTGGACACCCCCCTCTTGGCCGCTCCCGACAGGGTGGCCACAATCTGATTTGTTCATCAGCAGCAGTGCGAGGAGGGGGGACAGATGCGGAAGCGAAGAGGAGTGCGCACGAGGAGAAGAATGGGGAGGGGACCGACGAGGCGGAGGGAGGAGTAAGGAGGACGAGGAAGAGGAGGAGGCGGCGGAGGAGGAGGAGCTCAGGCAAAGGAATGGGTAAAGAGGATGAGCTGGAGCGTGTGCTTCGAGGGCCCAGCGGCAGAACGTGAGGATGGGGAGGACGCGGAGGAAGACGAGGATGAGGAGGAACCTCTTCCGCCGGCCTCATCCACCACCGTTTCATCCTCCCGCCGCGTCCTCCCCCCGCCTATACCCCCATGGGCCCTCCACCTTCTCTCCCTCCTGCTCCTCCCTCCCTCCCTCGGCGTTTGCACGCGCCGCGCTGCGCCTCGAAGCCAGCCCACGATCGAACACGGGAGACCAGGGAATGATGCACCTTACGGGCCGGAGAGCAGCAGGACGCACGAGAGGACAGGGGATTGGAGCGCATGCCGCAGAATTCAAGCCGGCCTCTCACAGTCCTCCCTTTCGTCGGCGCTCCTGGCGTCGCCGCCCAGCGGCGGGCGCGACTCCCGCTCTCGGCCATGTTCTTGCTACATCGTCCTCCTCACCCATCCCCGCTCCTTGAAAGTAGCTCCGCCTCGTCGCGCATCCAGACATATCGGTCGTGTGGGATCTCCTTGGAAATTCAGTGTCCGCACTGGGCTCGCAATAGGAACTGCCTATGTCCACGCGAGCCCACGTCTTCACATTATTCTGTGCCCCCTTGCGATTGCTCATCAATCGCTTTGGCTTCCTAACGAAATCCTGCGGCTTTATATTGATCTTAAAGTCTTCCAATGATTTCCCCTTCGCCGTCCTACTCGTTCATGGTCACTGGGCGCTGGGGAATGCGGCGGCATTCGCGTCGGTACCCTCGAGCATTCCCAGTTGGCACGGTCCCAGGGCGGCGCAAATAATGATGCCTTGTTGCTTCTATGTGTTGACGGTATCGGCGGGAGTCGCTGTCAAAAATTGTCGTTTGGTCTGTATTGTTGGGGCTAGCGATCTCGCCTGCGGCGTTATTCATGACTTCCTTGGGTTGCGGGGCCGCTGTTCCACCGCGCAACGAAGAAGATGCTTAACACTTTGGCCAGGGGTGAAGACCATCTGGCGATATAGGCAACTCCGTGTATTGGCTACCCCGTGGGTTCAATAAGATTGCCGATAACTTCACTGCACCATGGGCTCGCAGCAGTCATGGACACATTCGCTTTCTCCACCAAGTGGCCGATCCTGCGCCAAGGATGTCACTTTTGCTTGTGCACATAGAGGGCGGGACCCGAGCGATCTCGTGCTCGATTGCCGCACGGTGTTTCGAGGGCGTGGTTGGCAGGAACCATTTCCATATAGCCATGGCCATTACATGTGTGTACAGGACCCCTCTCGTTATTTGAAGCGGAGGCCATTGCAATCGACGAGGCCATCGAGAACCCGGCGCCTTTGATTGTTCAAGGCATGCGGCTATCAGATTGATGACCTGCGCTCCGGCAAAAGAAATAAATCATGAGGAGAAGAGGGGGAGGGAGCAATTTGGAGGAGGAGGCGGGAAAGGAGGACGACTACGATGAGGACGAGCAGCAAGGAGGATCATGAGGAGGATGAGGTAGAGGTGGGGAGAGGATAATGGAGGACGAGGCGCCCGTAATGTGGAGGTGGGCCTCCATGCTGAAGGCACCTCTACGTTCGCCGTCAGTACCGAGGGCGAGGTCACCACCGAGTACGCCTGGCTCTCCGAGGACCGATGGTGGCTAGGAGGAGGAGGAGGAGCAGCAGCAGGACAGGGGTGCACGCGGTTCGGTCGGCCTTGCTGCGTCGTAGTCGGTTGCGTTCGGTCGGCTCGGTTCGGTCGGCCGCTGTGACGCCGAGGCATGCTGGTTGCGCCCTCCACGGTTGCCTGCGGCCCGTCGGCCTCGGTCGGTTCGGCTTCGTTGCCGGTTCGGGCGGCTCTCGGCCGTGCTGTCGCCACAGGCAGCCTTGCAGGAGGAGGGCGCGCATGGCGCATGGTGGCCTTCTGAACCTTGTAGAAGAATGTTACCCAGAGTGGACCTCAAACAGTGTGTTTCTAGCAAGCTATGTCGTGCAATCTATGTGGTGGAACTCACCCTGCCGAACTTGAAGTTGTCGATTCCACTGCTCGCGCAATCATCCCACCAATCCAGCCGCAATTTGGTTTGCAAAACCCATGCGGAGGCGATTACCATGAGTGTTTGGTGTTGGCTGGTGCATCTCTGCGACCGAGGAGCCCGCGCATGCTCGCGCGCGCAGCGGCCAGCTAGTTTGGCGCGACCGACGCGAACGCGGTATCATGGCAACGTCGACAACGGTAGACACGATGATGATAGTAGCGATGCTGGTGACTATGTTGACAGCGACGACGGCACGGCCAGTGACGGCGCCGATGTTGATCACGCCGACGACGATGACGGCGTCCTCGAGTCGGTGATGAAGGCGGTGGAAGGAGTTCGACATGTGCGCAACCCCGACGCGCGAGAATGGCCCGCATGGTATTTGTTGACACGGATCGTGCCCCCCCCACCCCCCCAGCACGCGTGCAAGGGTGTCCGATTGATTTCGGCAGTATGCGTGAGAGGCCCATTTGGCAGAATTCCATGAACACGCTATATATATACATATATATACAATGGTTTTATTGCGAATTTGCAAGAGCGCGAACGCAGGTTTTTTTGAAAATTAGTGTTGCGAAGCCATGTGTTTTTATGGTTTCGCGACACTCGGTTTTGAACCCCAAGGTTTTTGACGGATGCCGGCATGCGCGCGCGACGACGCGCGCGTGCGCATGCCATACCATTTGTTGCAAAGGATTCTCGCGACGGCACACGCGCAAGGGCATCCGAACGATTTCGACATGCGCGCGCGAAGCTCCGGCTGGTAGCAGGTTATGAACATTGGAAAAAGACATCGTTTTCTCAAGGATACGCAAAAGCGCGAGCGCAAGCTTTTTTGAAAACCCGCTTTGCGAAACCATGTGTGTTTATATGTTCGTTGGACCGAAGGTTTTTGGAAGGATTTCGGCATGCGCGCGCGACGAGCGCGCGTGTGCACTTCGTCCCGTATGTTGCCGGGGATTCTTGAAAACTGATGATTTGTGATAAACGAGCGCACGCGCATATCATTTCTTTGCTGGGGATGACGGGGGGGGTCGATACCGGTTCGGCTGGGGTTGTATGAGTTCGTATGTAGGATGGACGATGCGGCAGAATCATGTGCAAATTGCAGTAAGACAGAGGGTGCGGACAACCCTGGGGAGTAGGGATTATTTTTTCCGGAAAGGAGAATCTATGTGGTACGATTCACCTTGCCGAGCTTGAAGTTGTCAATTCCAGCGTTCGCGCAAACATCCCACCAACCCACCCGTAACTTGGTTTGTAAAGCCCATGCGGCGGCGATTGCGATGACTGCTCGGCGCTGGCTGGCGCATCGCCGCGGCCACGCACACGCGCGCAGATTCGCAGGCCACGCTAACGCGAGCACTTCAGTACGAGTCGGTGGTTCGGGCTGGCGTGGTATCATGGCGGCGTCGGCAACGGCAGACACGATGATGATAGTAACGATGATGTCGGCCATGATGACGATGACGACGGCAAGGCCAATGACGGCGCCGATGCTGATCACGCCGATAAAGATAATGGTGCCCACGCGTTGGTGATCAAGGTGTTGGGAGGATCTCGACATGCGCGCGCGACCGATAGGCGCCGGTGGCCAGCGCTGTTTTATTTGACGGGGATTGCATCCCCCCAGCAAGCGCGCAAGGGCGCCCGAATGATTTCGACATGCGCGCGCGAGAGGCGTGATTGATCGTATGTGATGAAAATGTTTTGTTTGCGCGCAGACTGTTTCGAAACACGTTGCAAAACCATCGCGTTGCACTTTCATTCGGGAACCTCGATATTGAAACCGGTACGACACTTCAGGTTTTCAAGAATTTTGGCATGCGCGCGCGACGACGCGCGCGTGTGGATTGGGTTTCATGTTTTGCAAGGGGCGTTTGGAGATAGCTGATTTGTGATAAATGAATGCGCGCATAGTTTTTTCGACGAAGATCAGGGGGAGATAAGGGATCGAGCAGGGGTTGTATGAGTTGATGTATGACATGAGCGATGGGGCAGAACCATGTGTAAATCGTACTATCCCAGGAAGTGCCGATAATTCCAGGGAGGGGGGTTAATCGCAATTCTTTTATTAGAAAGGATATATGTATGTGTGTATATATTTACATATATATATATATATAAATCTGGTGCGGTCCCGGATACGAGTGATATATATATATATATATATATATATATGGTGCGGTCTTTGTTGCGGCGACGAGGGGGCAACAAGGCGGCGGAGCCAACATCGAGCCCAGACGACGGGCGGCGACAGCGACAACAAGGCTGCGGATCCGACAAACGATCCCAGCTCCTTAGAAAACAAGAACCCTTAAGTGCGAGAACATTCTTTTTCTTTTAACCAACAAATGTCGGAGGTCCGCGCCGATTTCTTGGATCGGCCGCGCTCCGCGCGCAAGGGAGGGGGGCCATCACCGATCCAAAGGATCCGCGCGGACCCTTCAAAGTAGCAGTTTACACGTGTGTTTTTCTCCGAAAACTGGTCCGCCTCGCATTCGGCGCATTTCGCCTTCGGTGGGAGGCGGCGGAAGACTGGCGGAAGTAGAACGGCGGCGGGTCAGCGAGCGGAAGGCGGCGGTAAGACGTCAGTTGTTCTGGATCTAGGGTTTCCGGAGTCGTCCACATGCCGGCCAGATTTTGTCTCATTTGAACGCGTTCGGTCCACAGCCTTTGAATTGTCGTGTCCTCGTCTCCGTCCAGGCGCCTCCCTCCTCTCCCTGCCCCTCCACCCTCCGCCTACCTCTCTTCTCCGTCCTGCTGCTGCCGCGCTCGCGCCACAAGGGTCACTCCCGAAGTGTCTGAAAGCATTATGCAATTGCTACACCCTGGCGACAGCGGCGGCGCGGGGCTGGCACGCGGGCTGGCGCTCGAGTTGCGTTTCGCCCTTCTTGCCACATTCGCCACACGCGATGCCCGACAGTGCTCCCTCGCCTCATCCTCATCATACCCCACCGCCGTTATCTCTCCGCCTCCCTCTCCTCCTCGGCCCCCTCCCCCGCCTCATCCCCTTCCTCGCCTCCCCTCCTCTTCCTTCCCGCGCCTCCCTCCTCCGCCCTCCTCCCTCCTGTTTTTCCTCTCCCTCCTCTCCATCGGAGCGCGGCTCCTTCTCAACACGGGGCTTTCGTCGTCGGGCAGTTCCGTGAGCACCGTGATCCTACCCCGTCGCACGCCCTGGGGCCCGAAGGCTGCAGGACGGGCCCGCGCGGCGCCTGTCTCTACAAGGGGCGCTCCCCGTGGTGACACGGAACGCTAGAAGCAGGGGCCCAAAAGGCGGTGACTTGGGGCGCCAGGATGTGTTTCGGCATCGTCGGCACATCCTGGGCCTACTCAGGTCCCCTTCCCCTCGGCATCCTACTCCCGTTCCTCCTCCTCGCCCGGTTCCTCCTCACGTCCCTCATCCTCGTTTCCCTACTCGTCCCCCTTCTTATCCTCATTCTCCCCCTTCTCCTTGTCCCTTCCCGCCCTCGTTCTTCGTCCCCTCCTCTCTTTCCTTCTCCTACTTCCTTCCTCATTCCCTTCCTCCCCCATCGTTTCCCGCCGTCCCTCCACCCTCCCTCCCCACCATCCCCTCCGCCCTCCATCCCCTCCTCATCCTCCCGTTGACAACGGCATGGGAGGGGCGGAGAGGGAGGCAAGCACAGCAGCAACGCCAACAACAACAACAACAACAATCATTTGAAGACTGTTCGCTCTTATCTGCTCGAGTGTCACTCAACGCGTATTTCACAAACCCTCCGTACCCGCCCTCTCCGTCTTCGATCGTATCCTTTTTTGGAGGGTATCGATTTCGTCCTTGCAGGCCGGGCCCCGGCAAGCGGCGGGGCGGCCGCGGACCGTCGGCATAGCCAGCGGCAGCGCTGATCGGCGGGAACCCGACCCCAAGAGGGACGGACAGGGGACCGACCACGATGACGACGACGACGACGACGGAGACGGCGACGACGACGACGACGACGACGACGACGACGACGACGACGAGCGAGAGGGAGAGCGAGAGCGAGAACGACAGCGGGGCAACGAAGGGCAGCAAGGGGGCAACGAAAGGCGACAGCGGGGCCACGAAGGGCATGCGCATGGGGCCACGAAGGGCGCGAACGAGCGGGGCCACGAAGGGTAGACAATACGGGGCCTCAGAGGGCAGCGACGGGGCTACTGAGAGCAGTAACGGGGCCACGTAGGACAGCGAGGGGGCCACAAAGGACGACAGTGGCGCCACGAAGGGCGCGCATATGGGGCCACGACGGGCGCGAACGAGCGAGGGCCACGAAGGGCAGGCGTATATTGGGCCGCAGAGGGCAAGGACGGGGCCACTGAGGGCAACAACGGGGCCACGAAGGGCAGCGATGGGGCTGCATATTGGGCCACGGCGCGCGCGAACGAGCGGGGGCCACGAAGGGCATACATAGATGGGGCCACGAAGGGCAGCGAGGGGGGGCCACGAAGGGCATACATAGATGGGGCCACGAAGGGCATCGAGGGGGGCCACGAAGGGCAGCGAGGGGGCCACGAAGGCCTGCAACGGGGCCACGACGGGCTGCAGCGGGGCCACGGAGGGCAGCGTGGGGGGCCGCGAAGGGCTGCAACGGGGCCACGAAGGGCAGCCA